TATCCAAACAAAATTAACACCAATTATTTCCTTTTTTTCGCTTCTCCTTTTCCTTACCTTCCCTTCCCTATCCTTTACTAATTTTTATTCCAACAAACGCTTTGTTTTTGGAAAATTATTTGAAAATATTCTACGTCCAATTGCATTTTGAATCAAAACAGCGGCACTGGGGAACTAATAAAGAACAGAGAAAGACGAAATTAACAAAGCAGTACTTGGAAACACTGATGAATAGAAAGGGTATTTAGCAAAAGGGAGGAACAAATATATAGATATGAACCGAAATACATGTCGTTTCAGAAAAACAAGAGGGAAATGTATATGGTAATTAAAGAGGCAACCTAAAATTTTCTTCCCTTATTTCGTTTAGAAGAAACTACTACCCAACCATCATCTGCAGCTGCAGCATTTTGCTTGGTTTTTGGTTCATCAGTTGACGTATCAACTGCATTTGAAATTGGCTGGGACTTTGGCAAATCTACCATCATGTTTGTTGTATTATCCTCACCCATGCCGTCATTTTCGTCATCATCATCTTCATCCTCATCCTCCTCATTAAACTAGAATAAGGAAGGAATATAAAATAAGGAACATAAATTTAAGGCAAACAAAATCATTTTGAAACTATAAACTTTTGCCCACTGCAAGTTTTCATAGACTGTTAGCTTCTCCATTACATTTTGGGAACAAAAACAAAGAAAAGTCATGATCTTTTGCGTTGCAGTGCCTCGGTATACTATGTAATAATCAAAATTCACAAGCTCCCAGATATGCATTTACTGTTTAACAATCTCAAAATTGCACATTGCAAGTAGTGAAAACACAGCCAAAAGTTGAAACATATAAAAGGGTAAACCAGTGGAGATTGTCGTCATCAACAGGTAGTCAACAAAATTCTCTAAGTAGAGTTTAAATCAAAAATTACCTGTCTGACGTGAGTAACTGGTGGACGATTGGCTGCCCTCATTTTTTCAATAGACTGATAATTACCTTCCAAACATTCTTCATGCATAATCATCAACTTTTCTGCTACCTACTAGGGGTTTTAGAAAATCTATTATCGTTCATGAGAACGGACATTAAAAACAAAAACCTGAACCCCTTCCAAAACTAGTTGCAAACTTGCAAAGTTAGCGGGACTAGATAGAACGAAACTGTACAATAGAAAAACTGAGATGCGATCACCATATGCATCAATTTAACTTTGAGATTGGCTCTGAGCCTAAAATCCTGAGTTCATTATCAAACGGTCGAAACCAAGATAGTTCTACAAGTTATATATGTTCCTCCCTGAAATAATTCATTCAGGAAATCACAACTACAAAAAGCATTCTAGTTATTCCTAAGAATCTGGTCTATAGCAATGGTGTCCGAAAAGCATCCCTATATGTCAAAAATCAGAACTGCCGAGGATATACTTTAATTCATCGTAAAAGCTCAAGATGAACAGAAAAATCAATACCATACAAAACTAGAAATTGTAGTTCAATTCAATTCCTTGATAACCCTTGGAAACAAGGTCTCCCTATTCTTGAATACAATTACTTGCTGTTAAAGTTGAGAAGGCAACCCTTCATTTATCAACAAGCCTTAAACCAACCTTCATTTATCAACAAGCCTAAAACCAATCTAAAGAAGAAATAATGCTGCCATCCTCAGACATTAATATACTAAATGGTAGGTACTATGGGTATTACCTCCTCGATGCTGCCATCCTCAGCCATTGTATTCAAAGAAAGTAGAGACTCCTCAAGGATCATTTCTAGATCATCAATGTAAAGAGGCTCTGAAAAGAATGTAATTCCCAAAATTGAATCAAACCGAAGGAAAAAAGAAAATTGCACTAAGAAATGATGAATAAAGAATTAGAAAATTCGGGCAATCGAAAATTCACAAAATCAAAACAAAAGTTGGCAAATTTAATCATACACGAGCAGAACTCAAACTT